TAACAATAACAATAACAATAACAATAACAATAACAATAGCAATGAACAATAAACAGTAATAATAAACAATAATAATAGTGATAATGATAATAAACAATAATAATAACAAAATTGCTCATAACTCTTTAATAAAAACAAGAATTGATGGCTTCTCAGCAATTTTGTTATCAGATAACAAAATGTCAAATGACGTGCAGTATAATTCATTGGTAAATGAAACCGATGGTTTTGAATCAATCAGTAACAATAATGATTCACTCATAACAGAAACGAATGAAAGTAATTTGAAGGTAAACTTTATTAATAATATTGTAACAGATGTTGTTACAGTATAATCCGTTCTGCAAAAAGCTGCCTAATTTGTTATCCTGAAATAACTAATTAAATATTTCAATATGATGACGAGACTAAACTGTACAATTCATGGAGAACGTTTAACGAACAGATAACAATTACAAGCCTACAGTATTATAGGTAATGCGGAACAAACTCTGTGAATGATAATGAAATGATGTGATATTGATAATGATTGTTTATTTTGAGAGTAGTAATTTTCATTAACATAAATAATATATTCATTCTAGCTAAGCAATTATTATCATTTCTCTCCAATGGTAAATAAATTTACGTTATTTTCTTTTTTTTGTTTTATTTACTGTATTATTCAATAGAAGTTTATTTTTAGAATGAGAATGTGCTAGAAAAAGCGCAATTATTGGAAAATTCAGTAAAAAAATCGGATGATACCATGAAAATTTCAGATAAACTAGAAGCATTCAATAGAAATAATGAAGTAATTTTTAAATTTATCACTGAATTTCATTTCCTAAAAAAAAATCTAAATTTCTTTGATTATAAAAAAAAGAAAATTTTAGACCATATTTTTACATTATATTAATAGTTTTTGGAACAAAAAAGAAAAACAAGCAATGAACGAAAATAAGTAACCAATGAATGGATAATTCTATTTTTAGATATCGAATAGTCCCATGAAAATTTCACGATCGAAAATTGAGGAGACTGAAATGCCAACAAAAGGTTTGTCTTTTTGTCACCTTCTTTTTTTTTTCTTTTTTTTTTTTAAATTACATTTCTAATTAATCATGAATATTATGAAGTGTTTAATTTAAATGATTGTAACCGATAATTTCGGTTAAGAATTTCTTTCAGGAAAGAATCTTTGTCCGGTGTTTTTCTGATTGAAGTAATCTATCAGATATGTATATACAAGATAAAATTTTCAAAATTTGAATAAAACAAGAACTTTTTCGAATAATTTATGACAGAAAAGACACAGAAAAGATAGGAAAGAAACAGAAAAAATAGGAAAGAGGCGGAAAAGATAGGAAAGATACAGAAAAGATAGAAAAGAGACAATAGGAAAGAGAGGGAAATGGAGAGAGAGAGCAAAGGGAAAGAAATTATTTTATTGTGGCTAATTATCGTTACAAAATATTTGGATTAATCTTAGCTTACTTCAGAAAGGAACTTTATGATCTTTTTAATGAAATAAAATATAAATGAGTGAAATATATTTGTAAATAAATCGAGCTTGATGGATTAGAATTATATATTTTTTTTGGATTTTGTTTAAGCTGAAATTTCTATTTTTGAATTATGGTCAAAGTTTTATCCATTTTTTTTTTAATTCTTTGATATTTTTGCTGACTAATTTTACTTTAACTAATATATGAAATTTCGATAGTATGTTGAGTATTATGTTGATATCTCAGGTTACTGCTAGGTTTTTTTTTTTTTTTTACATCCGGCGATGCTTTCAGATCTGTTCAATATATTATGTTTGAGGTAAATATGAGTTGACTTTTTTTCTAATTAAAAGATTAAAATTGATCGTTTGCATATTTCAGGAGTTGTGTCCAATTTGAAATCATTATTTGAAAGTAACGCTATTCACAACAATCATGATACCTGCAAAAGTGCCAGCTATAAACTTGGTCAGTTTATATATTCTTTTTTTTTTTCAAATTCAATTAATTTTATTATTTCAAGAAGTGAATTCATTTCATGAATAGGATTGAATTGTATAAATTATTTTAAAAGAAATAAAAATAACAAAACAAAATTTTGGTATACCTTTTTTTTTTTTTTAATGATTACTACCATTCATTGAAGCAATAATTCTCTGCCCAATGAATTTAGAACGAGTGATAAATTTTAAGTTTGCTAAAATTTTTGCTCTATAACTGAAATTTTTAATTTAAATGAAATTTAAAGAATTTTTTTGCCTTCTTATCAGAAAAAAATTAAATTATGGATGAATTATCAATGCCTCATTTCTCTCAAATACAATAATATGATTTTCTTTACATTCAGGTGATCTCTTCGTTTTTCTTTCAGAATTATTATTTCACATATAAAATGTATTAAATTACAGAGTATGGAGTTGGTCGATCGTCAGGCACTTTGAACAAAGGCGTTTTTCACTAATTCATCATAAATTGTCATCTGTCCTTGAAATCGTTTGATTATAATCCTTTTTTTCTGAATTAACAACATTATTATTTCTGGAATATTTTGCAATATAATTTTGAGTATAACATTTATACTTTAACATTTGCATAGATACTAGCCGTGTGTATTACTTATATGTGTGTTAAATGATAATAACAAAATGTTTTATTTTATGTTTATCATTTTATCATTTTTTTTCATTTTATGTTTATCACTTTATCACGAAATATAACCAATTTATCTTTTTTTTTCATACTTAAAAAAATATAGCTATAAAATGAATAAATTTATCATTTTTTATTAATATCACAAATACACTAGCAGTAAGATAAAATGTTATTGATTTTTTTGGTCAATGAAATCGAACCATACTGGTCATTGGTCAGTAGACCGTCACTCATTAACCGATATTGCAAAAACTTTGAATTAAAAAATAAAAAAAAAAAGGACGAAAAAGCATTAATTTGCTTATTATTTCATTAAAACTCTTCCATTACTGATTATTTAGAAATTGAAAATTCATATAAATGAATTAACGCTTCTTAATTTATAATTTTTGTAATCTTCCTAAAATGCAGCAAGAAGATAAGATTTGTATTCAAACTGTTTTAAAATATTTATGAAATAGGATAGTAATAGATGTGGAGGGATTAATAATCATCAAATTAATTGTTGATATTGAATATATCATATATTAACAAAATTTATATTGTATTTTGATATAATTAAATTAAAATCAGTGTCAGAGTGTAAGAAATATTAAATAAAAAAACTTCAAAATACAAGCTTATAAGAATTGTAGGCATAATAATAACTTGAATATAATTGTAATTGAGATAATTCAATTGTGCAATGTCAAAGAAAATATGAGCTGTGACTGCTCAGATAAAATAAAAAAAAAATTATGAAAGATTCGAATTTAAAATGCAATATTATGAAGAAAAAAAAATTTTTTTATTTAAAAGTAAATATTATGGGGAAAAAAAGTGACGGCTTATTGAATTGATTGCAAAAGCACTTTATGCTAGCAAAACATTTGGCGATAATTAAAATTTGACGGAAAGAATAATGGAATAATTTTTCTAATTGAATTGATAAATTTGCTTTTATTAAATTATTAGATAATCAAAGTTTAATTGTTATTTAACCAAATTTAATTGCATAGTAGATGAAAAATAGAAGATATGCATTTTTGAAGAAGAGGCTATTATGGCTTGTTTTGAATTGAAGATATTAACGAATGCATAAATAATATAATAATGATGATCTTCGTCTTTTCAATTTCAGCATTCTCAGCATTCTAAAAAAAAATTTAGCATTCTCAGCATTCTAAAAAAAAATTTAGCATTCTCAATTTTAGCACTCTATGATAATGATTAAAATATTGCTCTATCTCAATTCTTGACCAGTCAACTCTTAATTCCTTTGGTTTATTGGTCAGTTTTCAACTTTCTCGATCTATTGATCAGTTCTTAACTTTATTGTTCTAACCGAGATCATCATATAATCATGCATAGTTTTCAAATTTCAAATATCATTTATTTGAATTTAAAATTCTTCATCCATTATTCGAATTCGACTCTAGCTTTTTGGATCGGTATAGGCTGGCTGCCTTCATGTTTAGGGTTTTTTGAAATTAATGACAATTTTTTTGAAATACTTTATTTCCCTTACATTAAATCACATTTGTACCCTTTTATAAATCCTCATTACTTTGTTAATTCTGCAGTGAATTCAATGAAAGCTTTAATCCTAATTAGTAATTAATTACTTTTGTACGATTTAAGATACGATGAAAAATGTATATCAGTCAATACGCAATCCGAAAAATATGCAAGCAACATTAATTTAGTTAACGGTTCGATTTCTTGTTGTTAAAATGAAATTAAAATTTTCATTTTCTTGAAATTGAGCTCTCTCAATTTAACACTAATCAAAATTGAAATTTCAAATGATTGAAAATTTTAATCTGAAGAATCTCTGCTACCATTATTTTTTCTATTTGATAATCTGATGATAGTTCTCCTGATTTTTTATTGTATATTGTATATTATTGGTATATGAAAATGACAGTTCACATTTCAAAATCGAAAATAAAAATATTCGAGTTAATGGAGAGGAAATTTATAATTTTAACACTACCAAAAAAAAACTGATTATTTATAGCATCACGAGAATTATGACAGTAAACAAATCGTGCAAAATAACTGCTTAGTAAATCAAATGATAAGCAACTGGATTGATAAAGCAAATCATAGCATTTCAAGAAATATTGCAATTAATACTTCAATAAAATCACTGACTAGGTGTTCAATAAATAAATTTAAATGAATTAAATAATTAATTGGCATGGATCGTGCTCGTTCAGGTGCGCTAGTAATTGTCAAACGGCTTATCATTTTTTAATAATAATCAGTGATAAATTAGCATTAAAAACCTTATGTAAGTCGTACTTGCAGCTTCAATGAGTTGCAGTTTAATTAATTTTAACAGTTTAACAAATGAATGATCAATAAATTGAGTATCAAATTACTGAACAGAAGTAACAATTAAAAAAGTTAAAACTGAAATTATATTAAATCTAACAATTGATCAGTTCATGAAATTTATTTTCATTTTTGTATTTTTGTTTTTTCAAAAATCTTTCTATATTTTATAAAAAATTCAAAATCAAAAAAATATATATATATCTTTTACTTCCTATTTAAATAATAAATTTAAAAGCTTTTTCTTAAAAAAAAAAAAACATTTTCACAAAACTTGTGCAAATTTTTTGATGAATTACATAAGCAAATATATTAGCGTGAATTATTCATATAAATTTCACAACAATTAAACTATTTTCAATTAGCTGAATTTTTTATCATCTAAAATGTTTCCCTCCAAACATTCTTCTTTGAGCGCTTGCAATGAATGTACCGCTGCTGTTGTTTCTTCTTCCTCACTTCTTCGAATTACCTAAACAGTAAACAATTTTCATCATTTACAATATTTCTTGTATTTTTGCTGAATTAATTGTAACAATGTAATTTCATAAATTTCTGAATCAAAATTGTACTTTAAAATTTATATTAATAAATAACCTCAGTTGGTATGCCAACAGTTGTAATCATTTCCGTGTGTGATGTAGTTTCATAATGATTAGTTGAAAATATTGGCTGTGACAAAACATTACTCGTATTCAAACCTACAAAATAATTTATAATGTAATTTGAAAATAATTTTGGTGAAAAAAATATTGGAGGGTAAAGGTCAGCAAAAGTGATCTCTCTTAAATAGCATATTTTAATCAATATCAGTAAATAAATTCTTCTGTTAGTTTGCTAGGAAAAAAAAAATACCGGGAAGAAGAATTTCCTGAGCTGTATCATACTGAGTTCCGGTATTCCATGAATACAATTGATCATCATTCACTGAACCCACCGATGAAATAACATTATAGGGATGAACCTGATCGTTAGCTGCTGTTTCAACGGTTGAATCAAATGAACTATTTGCTAAAATTTAAAATTTGAGCCTAGATTGTTTGAGAAATGTTGATTCAATTGATTTTTTTGATTTCCACATTAACATCGAGAATTATTATCCTAACAACGTTTTACAATGCATTTGAACATTTTGAAATTTATAAACGAAACGTACCGGAATGAGAATTTTGATATGTGCGACTATCTCTGCTATGATGATTGACAAATTTTTTTGATGCCGCAGGTTGTCGTAAAATACCATTACCGTCAGATTTTTGCTTCCGCTTCCGCGTTTGCAATGTTCCGTCTTTTTTCATTGATATTGGACGTTGCACTTGATGAAGTTTATAGTATAATCCACAAGCACTAAATAATATAATTGCTTCAAATAAAACCAAATGAATCAGAAGATGAGAAAGCTACCGATATCATTCGAAGTGTTCAACATGTTGCGGCAAAAGATAAACAGTTTTTATTATTACTATATTGTCACACTATGATTTCAATTTTTTGAAATTTGAGGAAAAAAATTGCCCATAAAACATACTTGCATACCGGACGTCCATCAGCATCACGTCTCCATAATGTTGTATTGGTACCACGACAGTTTGCACAAACTAAGCCTTGCCTTCGTTGTGAATTATGCTGAGACTGAAAATTCAATCTCTAATTTTTCAAATAATTTCATCCAGTATGAAATTTTCATTTTTTTTTTTATATTTATTTTTTTGAAGAATTTTCGACGAAAAAATATTTGAAAAATTCTTTTTAAAATAATTGAAATAGGAATGTAATAATGTATTGTTGTTATTTTTATAAAATAAATAAATATTTTGCGACGTTTGATTATCAAAAAAGTCATCATTTTATCAAGCAAATGATTCTTAATGAAGAAATTTGCCTTTCCTGTATTCTAACCTTTGATACCTAATAGAGGTTTCAAAGCTAATATATTATTACTTGATTTTTTCTTTGTTGTTGACGACTACGATTAGCGGTGAAATTACTCCGAGCAGATTGCTGTTGTCCACTGACCAATGCTTGTTCGCTATTCTCGACAACTCCGCAAGATGTACTCAGAAATGGCGAATATGAAACGATATGCTATAAGAAAGAATTTTAATGAATTTTAATTGAGAGAAATATTTCTTGAAACTTTCACGAAGACAACATCTTTCTCATCATATTGAATTGAACTTAATAAGTCATTTCTATTTAAGTATTATGAATATGTTAATTCTTGACTGTACTCTGGAAACAATTGCTAATTTTAAAATATCTTAGTCAAAAAATTTACTCTAATCATAATCTTTACTGTATTCTAAAATGATTTTAAATTTATCTAAAAATTTTTTCTGACTACTCTATTTATATTATATCATTATTTGAAAAATTTTCATAAATTTACAAAGCTAACTTTTCATTTCCTTCATTCATGCTAATAAACTGAAGACATACTTGTGACATATCCGATCGACTAGCACTGTAATGCATCATAAGATCGGATGCGCATTTGGCGCAAATTACTGACGTACCGCTGCACGCAATATCCGAACTGTAAATGCCACATTGTTGACATTGCGCAGATGTCGTTGTTGGCTGTATTGCAGTGTGCGCAATTGTACCATTTAGCTAAAATTGTTGGAATTCATTTCCTTACTGATACTTTGAATGCAAAAAATATTTTCCACAAAATGAGAATAAAATTAAATTTTCTTTAAATGTTAGTTTAAACTTTTTATTAATTTCAAATATGACCTAATGGTTAAAAAGAATTGAAAAAATTTGAAGATATTTCTAAAAATTTTTAAGCATTAAAAAAAAATTGAATATATACCGTTTGAGAAGGAAAAACGCAAAGATTTCCATCTATGCCAGTTCGTTGTGGTGGTAAATGATGATAGGATGAAAGTGGATCATAATTTGCATTCATTCGAAATGGATCATAATTGCTAAAAATTAATTATAAAATCTTAAAATGTTAAAAAAAAGTTCAAAAGATTTAAGAGATTTTAAAGATTTCAAAATAAAAAAAAAATCTTTTAATGCAATAGTTAATCTGTCGAAATTTTTGAACTTTAAAATAACAACAAAAAGTTAATAATGGCTACAAATAATACAGTATTATTGGATTACTCTTAAAGTAATGACATTTTTGATCATAACTTTTTCTTTTCACATAAAGAAACGTATAATTAATTTGATTGATTCTTCGTTTTTTTTTTTGAGAAAGAGAGAGAAAAATTTACTTTTCTCACAGATTGTATCCCAAATTAAATACTTTTAAATAGCATAAGGTAAGTAATTAAAAAGTAAAAGTTATCGAACTTGGATAATTGTGTTGTTGCAGTGACAGTATTGTATGTTTGTATAGCATTTGATGGCATTAATTCGTTACCCAATGGTTGTTGCATAAGATAAGCTTGTGATGGTACTCCAGCATAGTAATATTGTGGTGTTGGAAGTGCTGTTGAGCAAGTTGGATATAAGCTAACACCGGATTGACCCATCCATTCCGAATAATGATGACAGGAAACTGCTGTTGATAATTCTGAAAATTGGTTTAGCTTAAAGTGATAAATTCTTTTTGTATTGTGGAAAAAAAGATAATTTCAAGTTTGTAGCAAAAAAAAAAAGAAAAGAAAGCATAATTTGCTTTTGAATAAAAATTAAATCATATGGAACAAAAATATTGCAATTTTATAATTATTCTTCATTAATTAGCTAAAATATTTAAATGGTATGATCAGAAAAAGAAATGGAAATCGCTGAAAAATTATGAATGTATAATTCTTGAATTGCCTATAATAAATAATAAATTCTAATAATTTGGCGATTAGTTTTTTTTTGTATTACTTTTATAATTAAATTTGTTAAAAAATGAACAAAGTGATGCAATTTTATGAAAAAAAATTACTTAATGAGAATTAGCAGCTAATTAATGTCCAGTTGAAAGTTTGTTAAAAAGCTCATAAAAAAATAGCTCGAGATGGTTCGTTATATCTTATAAATAAAATAAATTCATATTAAACTGATTCTTAATAAGCTGCACTTTTAGAAGCATTTGAAGACACGCAAACATATACAAA